TAACCTCACTTGTGACACTTAACCTCACTTTGGACAACTTGTCACTGCATGGATCCATATCCCATTCAATGGTTCGATAGAGTCAAATCAACCAATACGAAGTTAATCTTGGATTTTGGATTTTAACAGCACCTACAGTTCCTGTTTAATTGGTTTGATAGAGTCAAATCAAACCAATACGAAGTTGACCTATAGGAATTTGTAAGGTGAAGTACACTGTTATATGCTAATTTTTTTTAACTCAACTGTCCAACGGTTTTTCAAAATTGTTTTTAATATTATTTTAGTATACAACTTTAGTTTAGATTTAAATCCATATACATATTTTGTTTTAGTGCATTGCTCCTTCAGAGAGTGTTACTATTTAAATTGTTAATAAATATTTTACATTTCATAACTATTTTGTTATGGTTCAAAATCCCTCCCTTAACTTGATAATTATTATATTGTTATAACAGCTACCGTGTAGGGGCTGCCAAGTTGTTGAATAAATAATGTTATTTTGGATGTTGAGATGTTTTGTTTGATTTAACCACTGATTTTTTCAGAGTACATTTTTCAGAGTATATTCTTAGTATATTTTATCTTAATTTACTGTGATTAACAAAAGAACAACCCCCCCCATTAAAAAAGTCTCATTTTTCGTCTACCTTGACTTAGTCGGTGCGTATAACGGATTTTTTGGTAAATTTTTGATTACTTTCATGTTTTGACGTTTCTAAAACAAAGGAAGGTGAAAAATGTCCAATACGTTTCATCACCTTCTCTTTTTATCTAACCCGCTTTTTCTATTTTAATCACAGACATTTTTTTGATCCACGTCAAGATTCACGAGGCCACCATGCCAGAGTCATTTCTAAAATCGCTTTCCTTGTAGAGATATATAGCGCTATTGTCCTTAAAATTATTATTAAAAATATAAACAATAATTTAGTATTAAAAATAATGGCAAAACCTACTGACAAGTGCAATCATAATGAAAATCGCAAAAAAGTGTGTGGATGTTGTGGCAGCAAAATAATTTTTGGAAATAAGCCCGTCAGCCAGTTCTATATAACAAGTAATTTAGAAAGCTTAATTAAAGTGTGGATAAATAAGGATTTTGATGTAAAAAACGAAAAGTGCCCAAACTCTATTTGTGGATCTTGCAGATTAACTTTGTTGGAAAGAGATAAAATAATTTTAAAAGACCTTTGCCATGTCCATGTTCTGTTAAATTACAAAAAGAGACACGCCAAAATACACTCACATGTGAGTGCCAAATATGTCTATGTGTTAGGAAAAAACCCACATTTCAGTCACAAAAGGAAGGGGTCGTTCAAGACATTTTGAAGAAAATAACTTTCCAGTTCGTAAAACAGAAAAAAGATCGGTTTTACATGCAAATTTTGTTTTAAAAGGTTGGGCAAAGGTATAAGGCACATTTGCAACTACACTCAGGCTCGTGAAAATATAAAAAAATCAATAGAAACATTGCCAATAAAAAAACAGGAACAAGTGTTTAGTTCTACAATTAAGCGTTTGCGTTCTAAGCAAACAGGTAGCAACATTTCAAACCAGAACTCAACTGGAGGTAAACAGGCTAAAATAATAATTAATCCTGTCAATAAAAAAAAATTGAGTTTTCGCAAGAAAGACTGAATCAATATCAAATTCACAGTGGTTCAAGTTCAAATCAAATGAGAATTTTGACCAACTTTTTGAGGTCCAATGCCGGAAAAAAATCAGTGCCTAAAAACTACAGAAATAGCGTTAAAGAAAAATCACAAATTTTGCAGTCTATTTACCAAAGCGGAACTTATGAATTTGAGATTGACCGTGGCAGAAAAGAAAAAAGACCGGCAATTTGGACAGAAGAAGAGCTGCTGAATATAGAAGACATATAGGAAATTGTAAGATCAAGATCATGGCAGATGGTGGGCAAGGATTTTTTAAATTTTCATTCCAGAGAATTACTGCCCAGAAGCAAACAAAATTTTAAGAGATGAAGAAAAAGAAAATGAATGTTTAAAAAAAATAACTAGGTATGAAGAAGGTGGAACGGTTTCAAAAATTGCAAAGATTACTGGTGTTTACAAAGTAATTTTACTTTGTATTGTCCCTCAAATAAAAGAAACCTATCAAAATATAAAACTTCTTATGGAGCTAATTAAAATTAATAAAATTTCGTTTATTTTTGTATCTAACTTAAAAGTCGTTTTATTAGTCAATGGATTGCAAACTGCCACCTCCTCCTATCCATGTCTATTTTGTCTTGTCAGTCTGCAAGAATTACGTTCACAAATTGTAACAGAGCAACAACAAAAAAGTGAAAGTACCTGTAGAACTTATGGAAATCTAAAACAACATTATGAAAAATTTTGCTACTCTTTAGACAAAAAATGCAAAAAATTGTTACAGTGTGATAAATTGCTCATTGTTTCAAGAAGAGGACTCAAAAAATTTTTTGGAAAAATGTGTGATTCCCGAACTCCATATTTTACAAGGATTCGTTAATCATTTCTTTAGGGATGGTTTAGTTCCTATTTTAGGAAAAAAACTAAATTTGATTTTCAAAAGTTATCAAGGCGACTTATTTGAAGGCAATGCATGCCGAAAACTTTTGAAAAACCAGGATAGTTTGTTAGCTTGTGGAATTGTTTTTAATGGTGAAAAAACTGCACTGCACCTTGTACCAATTATTGAATCGCTAAAAGCCTTTGATAAAATTGTCGAAATGTGCTTTTCTTCAAAAAGAAAGTGTAGCTTTGATAAAATTTTAAAATCCATAGATAGACTGAAAAAAACAAATGCGGCAACAAATCTTTCATATACATTAAAAATTCATATAAACATAGAACATCTTGAAGAATGCTTGAGACATCTGGATAACTCGGAGGGTCTGGTGCTATGGTCGGAGCAGCCAGGGGAGTCACTTCACCGAGAATTTATAAAAACTGGAAAAAGTACAAAATTAATGACATCGATAATCCGAATTATGAAAGAAATTTGGCCAAGGCAGTAGTCGAATTTTCATCATTGCATTTATAAATAGCTTTTGTCGATTATTTTGTTGTTCTTGATTTTGATTGCTTTGTAAATTTATAAATTACTTTCAATTTTATTATTATTATTTTAATTTACAGTCCTCTAAAAAAACGGTAGGTACTGAATTTATTTTTAAACATTTTCACAATAATTCTAATAACTTTATTTACTTACATTTAAGTTATACAATAAAAACAGATAGAGAAAAAAATAAAATGGATGCCCATATTTAACACATAACAAGGTGAAAAAAGTAAAAGGAAGAAATACAAAAAATTAAAAATGTTTAATAAAAGGATCAGCTCTGATTTTGTTTCATATAGTTTTAAATAACAAATATAACCAAGAATCAAACCTCACTCTCAGTTTTCTGTGACATTTTTGTTTAACTTAAATATCATTGGGGCACACTGTGTGTAAAACTAAAAAAATATTTAATCGGTAATAGTCAGGTAACTCTTTAACTATTTATTATTAAAAAATATTTTGTGGGTATAATAAAAAAATATTTTAGGTGGTTGACAAACAAAATGTTAAATGTTATAATAATAGTATTAGTATTTTTATTGTTTATAATATCCTCTTTCTTGGCAAGTTACTACAAAAGGAAAAAATACTTAAAAATATGGCTGTATTACAAAGGATTAGGGTTTCATCGAGACGAGAAATCTCGTCTCGAAGGCAATTTCTCGTCTCGTCTCGATCATCAAGACGAGAAATCAACGAACTCTCGTCTCGATGTTTTTCTCGAAGACAATTTCTCGATCTCGATTCGAGATTCTCGAAATTTCGAGAGTCTCGAAAACAAAAACCAAATAATATAAAATATACCTCTATTATAAGTCTGCACTTAAAAAAACTTGGGTAAATTTTTAATTACAAAACGAAGCGTGCCAGAAATTTTGAATGCAATTTTTTTGCATGTAAATAATTGCATTCAAGTTTTCTTGTAAGCTGTAATACGGCATATATCATGTTATATGCTAAAAAAACGCCAATTATTGGGCCCATAAATAAAAACATACTTGATAAGGGTCCCAATCGCTTCTCTCATAGACAGGCGAGCAGAGCACAAGGAAAAAAGTACGCCAGGCTCTGCCAAGAAATGTGCAAGATGTAGATACAGGTCCCGCCGCAACAAATACAATAGAAATAAGGTTGAATTTATGGCATTTTATTGGGGGGGGGGGGTTCATTTCGAGTCAACACATAAACGAAAAATGAATTTGAAATAAGGACCACCAAGAACCACCGGGCACGGGAGTAGCGGGGTGCAGGAGGATTGTTTGCTTATCTTTAAAATTATACAAGAGTCTAGAGAGCAAACGTCCACTTTGGCTCCGGAGCTTCTGATGCACGTAAACCCGGATTAAGTAACTAGCATACTCATTGATGTTCATTGTGTTGCTTAACCATTCAAAAGATATATAAAAAAATTTTTTCCTGTTTTTTTAAGAATTTAAGTTTAATTATTAATATTACTTTATTTATTAAGGTTAATATAATTATTATAATATATATTCATATTTGTTAAATTATATATTTGTTAAAATGTTGTGTTGCTTCTAAATTGAAATACTTACCCACTAGTTTAAATTAGGAAAATATGGATTCGTAAAAATGTTTATTTATATCTAACTAGCGACCCGCCCCGGCTTCGCACGGGCGCAATCTATTCGAAAATTTAGAACCAAGCCCTCGAAATTTATTTTTATTATATTTATTTCTGTTCTTAAAAATGTGAATTAAAATTTATTTTCCAACATACTTAGTTATTTATATTCGCTTTTCTGAACTATTGAGAGCTGTAAGTTATTGCAGCACCTAAATTTTTTTCGATATCGATAAATATCGAGAAAATTTCTCGAGTCTCGTGAAACCCTACAAAGGATGGTTGTTATGGTTTGTCACGGAAGAAGAATTGGACCAAGACAAGGTTTACGATGTTTTCCTGAGCTTCTCTCAAAAAGACGATGATTTCGTCCTTGGAACATTACTGCCCAAACATGAATCATGATCCATACAAAGTTTGCGTGCACTACAGAGACTGGATACCTGGAGTACTAATAACTGAGCAAGTCATCACTTCGGTAAGAGATTCACGAAGAACTCTCGTGATAGTTTCGAAAAATTTTTTGGAGAGCTGCTGGACAAAATGGAATTCCGAACCGCTTACACGCAGGCCCTTACCGAAGGAAGAAGCAGAGTCATAGTTCTTGTGTATGGGGAAGTGGACATGACCCAGATTGATGGAGATTTAAGCGTGTATATGAAAATGACTACGTACATTAAGTGGGGAGATCCGTGGTTTTGGAAGAAGATGTTGTACGCGTTGCCACAGAAAAATAGAAATTATCAAATAAGAAATATCATTTTATAATGATAGTTTGTGTTTTTGCTTATTTTTATAATAATTTTTAATTAAATTGTATAAATATTGTATGAATATGCCTTAAATTTAATAAACCAGATTTGTTTTTTCCAAAGCTTTGCGTCTACTCCAACAATCCCACAACTAGGGAATGCAATCTTGCAGCAAAATGTGCAATCTTGGTATTGCAAGATTTAAGAGGTCTAATCTCGCAAGATCTCGGTATTTTGCGAGATTATTATTATTATTATTATTTTATTTTTAATGTGCTTTCAACAGGCACCAGGCCCAATTACAGAAATACACAATGACAAACACAAACAACCATACCCCTGGTGGGATTCGAACCCACGACCTCTCGGCTTGTAGTTCGAAGTCAATCAATCAAAAATATTTATTTATAAATAATATCACAGTTCTAGTTTACAGTTGGACAATACAAGGGTAGTTTATGTAATACATCAAGATTATGACAAAAAATAAGTTATTTTGCAGTTCTTGATGTCTGCTACGTCCTAGGAGCCATGGCCTCTCGGATCGCCGACGGTGGTTGTCGCCCCTTGTGCTGTTTCCCTGTTTAAGTTTATTTTTAAATTTCGGCCGCTTTCTCACTTAGTGATTGTAGGGTTCAATGGTGCGATGGATCTGAATCGATAATTAAGATTTTTGCGTTTTTTATGATTTTGGGGGTGAAAAATTTTAGGGGATGAACCCAGGAAAATTTATAAAAAACCTGGTTAGTCCGCAGTGCTAACTAGGTACTACACCACCGAGGGCGATCTCGCAGATTTAACCAGTAACTGGTGAGGTGGGGTTTCCCAATTAAATAATGGTGCGAGGCTCGCTATCCCCTGTGTAGCTTCCGGCCTGTTGTCCGTCAGTACTCTACCGGTGTCAACGAAGCGCGATATTTTACTTCGTGTACGATGTACGAATTGGGGTTTGCGTAACCCCACCTCACCAGTTTACTAGTTTACTAGAAATACGATTTTTTTAAAACTTTGTTCCTTTGTATGTTTTTTAACGAATTTTAGAAACGTGTTTCGATATTTTCTATTTTTCTTATTCTATATTTTCAGTTTAATTACTTACTGCAATCAAGTTTTGAAGTAAGTTTTGTGGAGCCCCACAATAAAATTACTGCTAAAAATTTTGTTTTTTTGTAGGTATGAAGTTCATAGTACTATAAACGCATTATAATCAATAAAGGTTACCCAAAAGTAAATAAAATACTCGTTATTTTATTTTGATTTCGAAGAATCGCCGTTTTCATTTGAGGTTTGGCAAACCCAACCTCACCAGTTATGTAACAAAAAAGTGACCTCGCCAGTTACAGGTTAAGATTAATAAAAAAGAAATTAGTATATATACTATAGTTATTTGGATTCCAACTTTGTTAGGTTATATCGTAAGGGCAAAATAATTAAATAAAACATAAATTAAATAATTTATTTAAGAATAATAAATTATTTATTGAAAAAACTACATTATTTTGAAAAAACACAAAATACACATGAAATACGCTGCGTCCTTATCTCGCAAATCTTGCGAGATCGCACATGATTTTTCGTTCAAGACTAATCTTGCAGAATTAGTGCGAGATCTTGGTATACCGAGATTGCATTCCCTATAGGGATATAGGTATACCCACAACGCGTTGCAACGCTTCGAGAACAGTTTGATTGTTATTTACTTATCTTAGTTTTTATTTCTCCCTATGGATACAATCCCTATTTACCACCATTATAGCTATATTTTTATAGCTTCCATTTAGGTTTACCTTAATCCCCCATAACTTAAACGATTGAACAGGAAGAGACACCATTTATAAATTTGTACCTATACCTTCTAACTAACGACCAGCAGCGTTTGCGTCAAGTTTCAGGCCATTATTTAATGCAACCAACAATAATATCCTTTTAACATCTGGTCATCTTAATGCTGCAACGACATTGTCTATCACATGTTTTAGCGCCAAGTAAGCATGATTTATACATACGCAAATCGATTTGTTAATGTTAAAGTTTAGCAAAACCGGTACATACACAGAAAAAACGCTTTGATATAGTCAATAACAATGCTATAATTGATTGTTTTTTCATTTCTCTAATAAAAGTTTAAGTTTATTCAATCAAATATGTTTGGAGCAATTGAGGGCAAGGGATTGATATTATTACAAATATTATATTCAGCCCATAACAAAATATTATCAAGTTAAAATTACTTGTTATAGAGTGAATGGCTCTTTAGATTTAAACCTAATGGAAATGTGTAGTTCCTTGAAAAATTTTAAAAATTATTTAATTCAAAGTTTATCTGATCAAGATAAAATTAACAATATTTAATTAAATATAAAATTTATTTATATTAAAAGTTATAATGCTTCAACCAAAAATTAAAAACAAATGAAATAAGAATAGTCTTTGTTTCTTTTAATATTTATGATTTTTATTCCAATGGAAACTAAGGTAAAGTAAGTTTTTCTTACAGTGAATACCAATGTTTTCACTTTCTTGAAAAATACTTGTTCTTTGCCCAATTATCATTCGGGAATGATAATTGGGCAAATAACAAGTATGGGACCATTCTTTCAATGCGGCCTATATTCCATTTAATGATTGCTAAAATTCAGACAAACGCGCTAGTATACAGAAAACAGAACAATTTCCTTTTATGGATCGAAAAACCTGTCTACACAAGACTACCAGAAGCAGTTTCCAGAAATCATTTTATTTAAAGTTCATATTAATGTATTATACAACTAATATTTGCACAAGAATATACATATTTAAAGGAAATAGAGCTTTGATTGCATTTAATGTAGCCATTCATTAGAAACCATAACTTTATTTATGCCAATGATAGTTTTTCATTAAGATTTATTGTGGCTTTAATTAAATAACAATTTAATTCAATAATTTCTTATGTTTTAACTAAGTTTTTATACGGATTTAATAGAATCACAATTTAATTCAAAGACTTGAACTAATTTTAAGAAGGTTTGCACAAATAAAAGTAAGACAATCATTCATTTAATCATAGCTGTAATTCAGGTATTGCAAATACAGTACACCATTATGGTTAACCCATTCACAATATAAAAGCTTTTTCTCTGTGTATACAAAAAAAAGCTGTTTTGGAGTCATTAAGATCATCCCAAAAAGTATAAATGCGTCCACCGTATAGCCAAACCATGATCCATTAGACTACCATTTGTTCCGTATCTGCAAAACACTTCTGATGATGAAAAGATGAATTTCTTATAGAATTCTTGTTTACTTTTAAAACCAAAATTTGCCATGCCTTCTGTGTTATATACACAAAGAGGTTTCGTCTTTCAAATTAATTATCCGCTTTGTGCGAACAGCGCACCGTAAAATTTTCGTTTAACCCTTTGTAATTAAACTAACAACCCGACGGGGGTCGACAGAGCAGCTACAGAAGCACAGTGCTTTAAACAAATCTTAGAAATATTGAGTTTTTTATAAAATTATAACAAGACAGATTTTTTTCAACATTCTGGAAAATAACATATCGATCATGAAAAGTACACTTATACTTAAAAAAGAACAACTTTGGTAATATGTTAAACAAATATTAGAAATATTGCCAACACCAAAACAAAACACGCTTAAAGTACTTGACAAAAGTCAAGTTTATTACTATTCCTTTCGAGCCCTAGTACACTCGAGGTCTGGAAGGAATGTTTCGAAAACTGGACTTCAGACCCTTTTAGGCTACCCCAAAGATAAGATTCCTAAAATTAAAGATCCACGAAATAAAATGTCAAGATTGTGACAAGAATATGTTGGACAAACTAAACGATCCATCCAAGTTAGGTTCAAAGAGCACTTGGCCCATGCCAGATTTGGTAGGACAGAGAAATCGAGTGTTGCCCAACATATGATGGTCATAGAATGGGGTTTGACAACCTTAAACTTATTAAGAAAGTTGGGGAACCAAGTCCCCAAGTAGCGTTATATATACACTAGTGTGCACTATAGTGACGAAAACTGATATCACTCCGATACAGTTAAAATATCTCAATATTATATTAGCATAGTTGTAATCATGTGATTTGCACCAGCAGAATATACTTTATAGTTTTATAACTTTTTGGTGTATTAGTCTGGTATCTAAAATGTTATGACCACTTTTGACACCACCTTAAAGTTGTCTAAATTTTAGAGTGGATTATGAATAGTAACTGTAACCAAATCACATCACTTTACTTACTTTGAAGTGGAAGTAGCAGTAAAGTGCACATAAAAAAATCTAACATAGTGTCAAGAACAGCGCTGTCATTGAATGCATTAAAATTGAAGCAATCTAAATTGTTGTTTGCTCAATTAATTACTATTAAACCAAAATAGGGAAATATTTTGCCTAAATGTCAAGGATTTTATTAAGATAAATGTATACATAGTATACATACTATAGTAACGTTATTAAATAAATCAAATTAGTATTTAATGCAATAACATTCTAACATTCTAACAAATAAATATCAATATGAATATCAATAGATTTAGGAGCGATAACTTTTGTTATTAATTTAAAAACAGTAGACGATTATAAACCAAGTGCTAACTACCTATTGGTATTATAGGAACTGTTATTCAGGAATACGGATTACAAGATCCCATTGGTTTAATGGCTCACCCATTCATGCTATGCTAGTGTTTTTTCTGTGTGGGTATATCAGTTTTGGTAACGTTTTCGGAATTTTTTCCAAACCTTGAATGTGGCAAAACTTGATTATATAATTGCGGTGGTGATTGCCACGTTCTTGCTACATGCTTTAGTGATTTCCACATTTCGTGATAGACAATTACCACTTTA